AGCAGGTGATCCATAATTCACCACATTCCCGGCACCTCCAGCTCCTGTTTCAGCCTCGGCCCAGACCTCTCGTGGCGATTCCGGCCCCGAATCCGACCCTGCGGAAAAGGCACTCCCAGGGATCTCAGGGACGCTTCTCCAGCAGCACTTCCAGCCCCAAATCCAGGGGGAAACACCAGCCCTGTTCCCCCACAAGGGGTGTGTTTCCTGCAGGGAAAATCCTCCCCAGTATTCCCGAGGAACAGCAAGGTTTGCTCTGCTCGTTTCCGGCTGCCCCAGGATTTTAGGGATAAAGGATGGGAAAAGGTCACATCCCACGTTTTTCAAACCTGGTTCTACCTCCTTCGGGTCTCCCAAAAAAAATCCCTGATGGGAGTTTTTAGGGCAGGACAACAATTCCAGAGGCAGCTGCTCCTGCCAGGAGCTCGGCTGGGTTTGTGCTCCCGTTTTCCAGGGATAAAAACAGCCACGTGAATCCATGGAAAAACAAACTCCACCCTCCAAACACCCCCAAAAAACAGGGACAGAGGGGCAGGAACGGCTGGGAAATCCAGGGAAATCCCACTGGAAACACTGCCACTCAACCCCAGGTTTTCCCTCTTTATATTCCCAGAGTTTTTGAGGCTGGAAAAGCCCCCCAAGACCATCGAATGCCACCACCTCAGATTACTTGCACTTGGAATTCGGAATCAAAACTAAATTAAGTTGCACAGGAGGGAAAACCTTCCTTCAAAACACATCCCAGGGAGAGAAAAGCGGGAATAAATCCATCCTTACCTGTGCTTGACGGGCTCCTCCTCCTCCTCCTCCTCCTCCTGCCTGGGAATTTTGTTCTCCCGTTCCCCACCGTCCTTGTTCTGGAAAAAAACAAAACAGGTGGATCTGTCAGGATTTGGCCTCTCTGGGAATGAGGGAGAGCCAAAAAAAAAACCAGCCCCAAATTCCTCAGGGATTGGGATATTGGATGGATGCAGGGAATGAGAGAAGATAAAAGAGATAATAAAGGTTCAGGAAGGGAGGAAGCCGTGCAAAAAAATCTGGGAATCCATGCCAGGTCCCCTTTTTTTCCCCCCTAATTTACCCTCTTGGATGTTTAACCAAGTTGGAAAACGTGGGACCAAAGAGGGATCAGCACAAGAAAGGGTGGGATTTCAGTTCCAGAGACACCATAAATCCAGTTTCCCTTGGGAAGGGGCACATTTTGCACCTCCAGAGCCCGGGACAAGCAGCTGATCAGTGGAATTCCCGATGATCTTTGTTATCCAGGCAGGCCCAGGTCTGGAATGTGAACATCTCCCACTAGCCCAGGTTGCTCCAACCTGGCCTTGGACACTTCCAGGGATCCAGGGGCAGCCACAGCTTCTCTGGGAAATCCATTCCAGCCCCTCCCCACCCTCCCAGCCAGGAATTCCTTCCCAATATCCCACCTAAATTTACCCTCCTTCAGCTCAAAGCCATTCCCTGTGTCCTGTCCCTCCATCCCTTGTCCCAACCCCTCTCTTGGAGCCATCCCCAGGATCCCAATGTTATTTCCAGCTGAACCAATCCCAAACCCCTCCAAGAACCGGGAATGCTTCCCAACAAACAGCTGACTCATCCCTGTATCCCGACTGCACAAACTTCCAGCCTCTGCTCTGCAGCCTGAGTTAAAAATTAGACCCCAAGCAAACAGGGAAAGGAGCCAGGAACCGGCTCCATTCCGGGCCTGGAATTGTTCAGGATCAGCTCCTGCTCAAAGGGCAACACAAACATTCCCAGCTTTTTAAAAAGAGGGGGAAAAGAACAGGAATCATCCCTGAATTTGCAGTTTTAGTTGGATTTTCAACTCCATGTTAACCTTGGGATACCCACACGGACACTCCTTGTCCAATAAATATAAAGAGCCAGGAAGAGCCTCTGGAATTTCCTGGTGGGAGCTATGGGGAATATTTAGACCCCTTTCCATGGGATTGAAATTTGTGGGAAGTCCCTTCCTGCACTCCAAGTCCTTTGCTGGAATGTTCTTCCTCATTCCCTGCTTCCTGCTGGAATGTTCTCCTCATTCCCTGCTTCCTGCTGGAATGTTCTCCTCATTCCCTGGTTCCTGCTGGAATGTTCTCCAGGAGGGTTTCCAGACCAGGAGGGATTTGCCCAAATTCCCTCCCCGTTCCCTCCCCCCACAAAGCTTTTCCCTGGATCCTCAAATACCTGGAATTTAAATCCTCTCCAACTCGCCCTTTCGGGGCAATTCCAACTTATTCTATGGAATTACATCCCATCCCACTTCCTTTCCCTGCAGGAAAGCCGACTCTCCAACCCAGCAGGTGCTTTCCCAGCTCTTGGTTTCCTGGGAAATGGAACTTTTTAAGGAATGTGGAGCTTTCCCTTGGGCTCCAGCACATTATCAGGCTTTTCCCACGTGGCAGGAGCATTCCAGGGAAATTAGGGAAGCAGCTCTTTGCCTTGCATCCATTAATGCCAAGGGGGGGGGTGTTAAATCCCCTTGATCTGGGAATTCCCAGCCCAACAATTCCCGACAATGCCCATCCAAAGAAAACATCTTTTCCAAGAGAAGGGAAAGGACACAACCTTATCCCGCAGGATCCACAATTGCCCTTCGCTGCTTCACTTCCAACCCACCTGATTCCATAACTTGCTCCCAGGTTTTTGCTTCCTGCCACTTCCCAAGAGCTTTAAATCCCTCAGGGATTGGGACTCCACCAGGGCTGGCCAGCCCTTTCCAGGCAGGAATTATCCCTAAATCCAACCTGAACTTCCCCTGGTGCAACTTGAGAGGCCTTTTCCTCTCATCCCATCCCTTGTTCCCTGGAAGAAGAGCCTGATTCCCACCTGGATCCCACATCCTGCCAGGGAATTGTGGAAATCCAGCACATCCCACCTTTTCCCAAAACCAAATTTCCATGACAAGAGCGACAATCCCTTCGGCTCCCTTTAAACTCCAGGAATTGCCAAGCAGGTTTTCCATCATTCCCAACCTCCCTTTCATCCACTCTCTTCATCCAACCCTTTGGAATTCCTCCAGCCCTTTGGGAAAGCTTCCCATCCAACCCCAGCAGCGCCACAACCTCTCCAGCTGATTATTTTGGGATTCCTGGGAGCAGATTGTCCCCAGGTGCCTCTTGGGAGCGGGTTTTCCAGGATGGAGCTCTGGGAAGCAGCTCCTCATTCCCATGGGATTGGCACCTCAATTCCCTCCTGGGGATCCCATTCCTTCCCTTCCCTCGTCTCTCCTTTGAAATATTCCTCCCTTTAAGCAGGGTTGGCCTTTTCCCAAAATTCTAAGAAGGAAAATTTCCATGTCTTGGTGTCGGAATGAACATCCCGGCTCCTCCTTCCGTCTCTCCCAGGTCTCTCCCAAATCCCTCAGGATTTAATTCCACGTTCAACCCAACCCAGGCACATCCCTGGCAATCCCTAAAATGACCCCCAGCTTCCCCTTTTCCCTGTAAACTCCTCCTTTTCCTCGGGGATTGAGCGGAATCCCCAGGATCTCCGTGTCTTTCCTGTAAGGATTCCAGGATTCCAGCCAAAGGGTTCCTTGGCACAAGGAATTGTCACTTTTGGAGGAGTTAAAAGGAGGTGAGTGCTGGAAAAAAGCCGGATTTCTCCAGGTCTTTGCTGCCAGCTGAGCAGGAGCTGCTCCTATTCCCTGTTTTCTGGGATCCAGCTCTGGGAAAGGTTCAAATCCACAAGAACATCCCAGCCTCATCTCCCTGCAAACTGGGAAGCTCCAGGTGCCACAGTGGGATTTCCTCATGGATAACTTCATCCAGGGAATGAGCATCTGCCTTGTTTGGTGGTGAAGTCCCCATTTTCCTTGGAATTTCTTGGGATTGAAGGAGACATTGAGGTGACCTCAGCTCCCAGGGAAGTTCCTTCATCCCAGGATGGCACCTCCTGGAATTTTTCCACCCCCCTGGCCAAGGTGAGGCTCAGGTATCCTGGAATCCTGATCCAGCCCTTCCCTCACCTCCAGGCTTTTCCCAAACATTCCATTCCAGAGGCAAAGAGCCAAGTCCTGAACTGCCCCTGGAGCAGCCAAAGCTTCCTCCTCCAGGCAGTGAAACAGTTCTGAAATCCAACAATTCCCAAAGGAGCCAAAAAAAAAAACCCAAAACCACAGGATCATAATTGTCCAACCTTAAAACCATCCCTAAAACCTCCTCGGGATCCGGGATCCGCCGCTGGTTTTCCGGGAGCTGCTTGGAATCCGGAGATAAGAGGCAGAACTTGTGTGTCCCTGCTGCTCCTTCCTCGTGAATCCCTGATCCTGGTTACTATGGAAATGCCTCAATCCCAGCTGGAGCAGCGGGACTTCCACGGGAAAGGAACAAAAGGGCCATGGAAAATCCGGCCCCTTTGTCCTTGGAAAATCCCTGTTGCCAAGTGCAAGCCCCTGACAGGAGGAGGGGAAAGGGATGGGAGGAGAGGGAATTCCGGTTGGATAGTGGGATAATCCTGCCCAGGGAGGTTTAGAGGCCCCGTTCCCACAGGGGATTGGGTATTGCTGGGAATGTTGGATTGTAGAGGAATTTTCCTTTCATCTTCAATCCCCTTTGGAGCTTCCAAGCAGGAAGGAAGTTGGGATGATCCTGGTGATGTCTAACAGCATCTTTCCATCTGGGAAAACCAGGCTGGGAGGGGAAAATCCCTCTTTTTCTCCTGGAGCAGCCCCAGTGACTCCTCAACTCCCGGAATTCCCTCTCCAATCCAGCCCTCTCCTCCCTCTCCCATCCCACAGGACAATAGGAGGAGAGCTGGAATGTTGGTCCCTGTGGATTCTCAGCCTCCTTCCCTAATTCCCACACTGCCATCCTGCATTCCCTGGGCCATCCCAAGGGATATTCCCACGTCCCTTTCCCGTGGCCTGTGCTCACCTCTCCCAGTGGGGAACCTCTTCAGGGGATTTCCCTTCCCACGGAATTCCAACCCAACCAGCCAGAAAGGGATGAAAAGGTGCCAACAAAAGCCGCTTCCCTTCTGGGAATCACCTTCTGGAATCACCTCATTCCAGGGTCAAACACAAGGCAGGAAAGCTGGAATGTGGCCACAGCAGGATCCACTCACACAGGGGGAAAAGCTGGGGAATTCCAGGAATTCCAGCCGAGGGAAAACACTTGGATTTCTTTGCTCCCTGTCAAACAGGAGCAGGCAGGTCACTGCTTCCAGGGATGCTGGAGAGGAGCTGGGAATAGGCAGACATGGAATTCTATCCCCACATTTTTGAATCCTTTAAGGAGACAAAGCCCCAACTTCCTAAAAAGGCCAGAGCAGCTCCTGATTTCCCAGGAATGTCCTCAGGGATGGATCCAGCAAACACTGCTCCCTCCAGCCTCCCTTCCCACCCTGGATCCCTGAGCTGCAGGGTGGAGGATATCTGGGCACTCATCTATTCCCAGAGTTCATTCCCAAAGGAATTAACAGAGTTAAGTCCCAAAAGGAGCTTGAAAATAAACCCAAACCCCACAGTTATTCCACAGAATTCCAGCCTGGTTTGGGTTGGGAGGGACCTTCAGGATCATCCCATTCCCATCCCCTGCCACGGGCAGGGACACATCCCACAATCCCAGGATGCTCCAGCCTGGCCTTGGACACTTCCAGGGATCCAGGGGATCCTTTGTGACTTCCTGGGATCCTTTGTGACTTCCCTAACAAAACCTGGAGAGGGATGGATCCTTTGGACCCTCAATGTGTGTTTTTCCCCTATGGAATGACTTCCCTGAGCTCTGTTTCCACAGTTTTCCCGGGATTTGGGGCTGGGGAGGTGCAGGGAAGGAGCGGAAAGGCGGGAGAACATTCCATTGTGAGGGGAAAGCTCCAGCTTTTCCTGCTGGCACGAGAAGGGGTGGGAGGAGCAGGGATTTGGCTCTGGAGTGAATCCAACCTGGAACAAAAGCTTGGGATGCAGCCAAAGGAATCTTTTCCAACGTGACCGGTGCCGGAGCAGGGCTGGGAGTGAAGGAGCAGGTGGGAAACACCCCCCCATTCCCACAAAAACATGGGAATGCTGCTGATTTTCAGGGATTTGGGGGTCACAGAGCCTGGATTTTGCTGATGGATCCCTTTGGAATGTTCTCCACGTTCCCTGAGGCAGCGGGTGTTTTAAAAGGACGGGAGTATCCAGGTCTTTTCCCAGGAAATTCCCTCTTTTCCTGGGAAATCCCCTCGGAGTGGAACCTTGAGCCGTCCATCTCTGTCCCAGGATTTACCAGCAGAAAAAAACGAGTGGAAAAGGAAAAATCTGGGATGTGCCTGATTGTGGATCCCAAACACTTTCACAGCCAGGAATTTTTTCCTTAAATTAAGGGAAAAAAGCACCACTTTGCTCCCTCTTCCCAAGGGAAGAAAGCAGGGAATGGTGCCAGGGAGGAAAAGGGGGAATCTCCCAGCAGGGCCTCATCCATCCATCCATGTTTTCCCTCGGACCACACGGATAATCCTGGAATATGTTCCCACAAAAAGCATTTCCAACGCAGGAGCCAACGGCACGACCACCTTGGAAATCCAAGGATTCCAGACAGAGGAGGCTCATCCAGCAGCTTCCCACATTTCCTGGAATTCCCAAGCAGGGATCTCCTGGCTTGGTTTATTTATTCTCCTCTCCCGCCACTTTTTTTATTCCTAAATATTTCTGGGGAGCTTCCTCAAAGGAATCTGACTTGGAATCCAAGCAAGCAGAAGGAAGAAATTCCCTTTTTCCCACTTTTTGGTGCCTCCAACCCTCCTGTTGGGCCAAAATCCCAGGAAACCTGGATTTGTACCCAGGCAAGGACATCACAGCAGCTTCTCCCTGGAAATTCCTGCTGTTTTCCTGAACAGTGGGAATTAAAAAGCACCCCCTTTTAGGCATCAGGTTCATCCCAAGAACTGGAACGACCTGGAAATTCCAGGAAGAGGAGGATGCCTTAACTGAGGGCTGCAAGAAATGGGATGGGGGGGACCACAAGAATATTCCCGGAATATTTTCTTATTCCACTTTTTTATCCCTGATTTTCAGGAAGCCTTGGATGGCAGAGGGCAGGGTTAGATGGGATACTGGGAAGGGATTTTTGGCTCGAGGGTGGGGAGGGGCTGGGATAGAATTCCCAGAGAAGCTGTGGCTGCCCCAGCCCTGGAAGTGTCCAAGGCCAGGTTGGATAGTGGAAGGTATCCCTGCCCTCTGGCAGTGGGAAGCCACTCCCTGTGTCCTGTCCCTCCATGCCTTGTCCCCAGTCCCTCTCCAGCTCTCCTGGAGCCCCTTTAGGCCCTGCCAGGGGCTCTCAGGTCTCCCTGGATCCTTCTCTTCTCCAGTGAACCCCCCCAGCTGTCCCAGCCTGGCTCCAGAGCAGAGGGCTCCAGCCCTGGGAGCAGCTCCGGGGTCTCCTCTGGTCTCATCCCAAGAGCTCCCCATCCCTGGAGCAGCATTCCAGGCGGGATCCCGCCGGATCGGAGCAGAGCGAGGGGAAGGAATGAGCAGCTTCGCCCTGCCCGGGGCGCCCCCCAAACCCCCTCCACACCTTCCCCCCGTCCTCCCACCGCCCAGACCGCCCGACCTGGAGCGTCCTCTGCCTCAGGGCCTTCAGCCTCTCCCGCCGCCTCAGCGCCTCCTCCTCCAGCCTGCCCAGCACGGGCCCCGCTCCCTCCTCGGGGGGCTCCATGGCCCCAGCGGGCGCCGCCATCTTGTCCCCGTCCCGCCGTCCGTACAGCGCGCAGCGCGCATGCGCGGCCAGGGGCGGCCAGCCGAGCGCCGAGCGAGTCGCTGCGTTAGCGAGCGGAGCAATCGATGTGGGGGGGGTGAGGGGGCCGAGGGAAAATGGTGAAATAAAGGGTTAAAACTGACCAAAAAAAAGAGGTTAAAAGGCGAAAATAAGCCAGCGTCGCGTTTGTTCAGAGTGTGTCCTCCCCCCTTCGTTAATTAGGGCGGTTCATTATCTGGTTGGGGGGGATGGAGGGGCGTTTATCCCCCCCCGCCCCATCCCGACCCCATTTTACCTCGGGCAGGTGGAAGAGGGAGGGGAAGGGAGAGCTGGGGATGGTGGTGGAAGGGGTGGGGAAGGGGCGCCCCGAGCAGGTGGAGGGTGGGGATGGGGTGGGGATGGGGTGGGGATGGGGTGGGGATGGAGGGGGGTGGGGGCGATGGTGTCCCCGCCCCCCCACACACACACACCTGGGGGAGGTCCCAGCGCCGGTGGGGGGAGTGGAATTTGGGGGGGTTTTGGGGCGGAGCTGCGGCTCGTGCCGAGCCGTGCCGGCCCGGCATGGCTTCCCGGGAGCGGCTCTGCGAGCTCTGGATGCTTTACTTCGCCAAGGTGAGGTGGGCACCGCACCCCTCCTTCGGGGGGGCAACCCCCGGACCCCCCAGCCCTCCCCTGGCTCCCTCCCTCCTCTTTGGGGAGCGCCCCCCCCACCCCCCCCGCATTTGGGGGGCTCGCACCCCCCCTCCCATCGCTGCATCCCGCCACCCCCCCTTTGTGCCCCCCCTTTCACTCCGCT